GCGCCCAGCCTACTCTACCATACTATCCTATGCTACAGCTGGTTCACACAACAGGATCACTTCGGCTCACGAAGACCAATGTACATGACTGTCCACACCATCGGCAACCTCTCTCATGTACCAGGTACATATCTCGTCACCCTCAATCGGACCTTGATTATCCCACACAGCGCCTCACTCCCTGAAGACCACCCGATCATCCGCTGTACCCCCTGGCGCCTAGCAGCCCGGCTATGGCCGCCTGCGCCCAGCTGCCCTGCAGCACCCCACTTCACCTCTCGCGCCCCGCGCCCCGTCAGCGCCCTTGGCAGCAGCGCAGCATCAAGCGAGAGCGCAGCAGCACTTCCGCATTGCCAGCGCTGGTCAGAATGCCTGGCCTGGGCTGCCTCACTTCCTTTTATGGAAGCGGCAGCCTGCTGCATGCTGCGTGTGGCCTGGCTGGAAGCTTCCAGTAGCTTCCAGTTGGGCCTCGGACCCTGTGCCCAGCCCGAGACTTACAATTGAGGGCCTGGGCCCTTTACAATTGGGCGCGGCCTGAGTCTCGAACTTGGGCTGTTAGCTGCATCTGCGCAGGGCCCCCAGGTAGGTGCATCGGCTGTACTACTTTTCCAGAGGCCGACGGCCTGCTTCTCAATGTATCGGCCCTGCTTTGTGTGTAGGTGCCCAGGCACAACTTTCCTGGCCTGGGCCAACTGTATGGCGCAGCTTAGTGAGGCTCGCGCGTTCATTCAACCAATTGACGCGCTGCAAGAGCCTAAATACCCACATGGAAATGTCGAATTTGGCTTGTGACGAATATTCAGGCCCGCCTTCACTTAGGGCGGGCACTTGGCTTGCTGGGGCCTTGGCCCAGAACAATGTGATGTCTGAAAGGACCACTTGAGGGCTTGTTCCTCACATTCCATCCCCCTTAGCTTCGAAAGTTCGCTGAGATGCTTCATGCTGGTGCCTTCCCCTTCAGTCTTTTCTCATAATCGGCCACGATCTGAGGCTGTCTTGACAAGTTCCTCCCTTGAAATCCATCGATCTTCCTTCGGATCTGTATGATGCCTGAAATGTACTCTATATTCCCTCGCAGGTTTGGGAGGTCTTCCCCTGCCAGGTGGCTTGGGAATAGGTGTATCTCTATGATCCAGGATGTCGTCGACGTCCACGTGACCATCCATGGTTGGGGGCAGCATAGATCTCCGTGATGGGAACTGTGCTGTCTCAACGAAAGGTGCAAGTTTGGAAGCGTGGAAAACAGGGTAAGTGCGTAAGTGACCAGGGATACGAATAACGTACGAGGGACCATCCAAATCATTCCCCACGATATCCAGGACTTCCCAGGGACCGAAATACTATGGCATTAGTTTCCTAGAGATGCCAAACTCCTGTCCCAGTTCACTAGCCTTGACCCAGACACGTTCCCCTACCTGAAATGTGGACTGTCGACGACGCTTGCTCTCAAAAGCAATTATGACCTCCTGAGATTTCTTAATATGTTCAACAGTCTGCTGCAACAGTTTCTCATACTGGACACCAAATTCAATGGTTCCAGGAGTTGCAGCAGTTCGGTTTTCAGGCAGGAGGAAGTCTAGAGCGGATCTAGGCTTCCATCCGAGATGTAGCTGATTAGGACTGACACCGATGGTGCTGTGTACAGCATTGTTGTACAGACTGGCGATGAGAGGCAACTTCTCATCCCAGTCATTCTGGATGGGCTTGATGTAATGCCTCAGCAGATGCTGCACCACTCGGTTCATTTGTTCAGCCTCCCCATTTGCTTCGGGATGATTCCCAGAAGTCATCTGAAGTTGGCCGCCCATCTGTTCAGCAGTATGTTTCCACATCTCGTTAGTGAAACAGACATCTCTATCACTAGCGATAGTTTTAGGCAATCCAAAATCACGCACCCAGTTGTCCATGAACAACTTGATGACGTGCTCAGTCCTGGCAGTCTCTGGCATGGCGATTAGTCTAGAGTACTTAGTGAACCTATCCACTATGACGAAGATGTGCCTCTTGCCATTCTTGCTGGTCACAAGAGTATCCATGAAATCCATGGAGATACTCTGCCCTGGGCCAGCAGGAATGGGTAAAGGCTTGAGTAACCCAAGCGGAGCTTGAGTCCGCGGCTTGTCTCTCTGACAGACCTGACAGGTCTCCACGTACTTCTTCACATCGTCAAGCATATTGGGCCACCAGAATCGCTGTACTAAATTAGCACTCGTCTTCTTATAGCCGAAGTGTCCCATTGCGTCGTGACACTCACCTAAAAGTAAACTACGCAAAATCTCTCGAGATGGAACAACTAACCTCTTGAACCCTGCCTTCTCAAGAAAGAGCAACCCATCCACCATCACAAACTGACCAGTGGTGGCCTTGTCTTTAGCCTGTAGTTTGTTGATGATGTCCATCGTGATGGGATCTTCCTTGTAGGCTTCATCCAACGATCGAGTCACGTCCTCAGACAAACCAAACTCAGAAATCAGCGCACCTAGGTAGTTTGCCCTCCTAGACAACGCATCTGCCACCTTGTTGTACTCTCCCTTCAAATAGTCAATTTAGCTTGAAATCCTATTGATCTATGACTTCAATCCAACGTTTGAGTGCATCTGAGAGAACTGGTTGAGTCTTAATCCACTTGAGTGTCTGATGGTCAGTTCTCAAGTAAAAGAACCTTCCTAACAGGTAGGGCCTCCAGTGGACAAGTGCCTTGTAAAGAGCGTAGAGTTCCCTCTCGTAGGTGGACTTTGCCAACTTCTTTGAAGGCATCTTTTCGCTCATGTACTCCATCGGTCTCAACTTCTTCCCTTCCTGCTGAGCCAACACTGCGCCAATCCCATATTGACTTGTGTCAGTGGTTACAACGAATAGCCTTTGCGGGTCGGGTACCATGAGAACTTCATTATGCGTGAGAGCATGCTTCAAACGCTTGAAAGCTGCCTCACACTCGTCGGTCCAATCCCATGGTGTGTCGAGTCGGGTTAAATCAGTCAAGGGAGATGTGATCATGTTATAATTCTTTACGAAATTGCGGTAATAACCACACATTCCCAAGAATGATCTGACCTCAGTCACTGACGGGGGTCGTGGCCAGTCACGTATGCTAGCCACCTTAGCATCTTCGAGCCTAATCCCATCCGCGGATACTTCATGACCCAAGTACAAGATTCGAGTGCGACCAAACTCGCATTTCTCTGAGTTTATCTTATACTTGTGCTGCCGAAGGAGTGAAAGTACTGTGTCTACATGCTGAGCATGCTCCTCGACCGATCTACTGAAGATAAGTATGTCGTCGAGTTACACGACAACAAACTTATCCAAGTAGTCATGGAAGATCCTATTCATGGCGTGTTGGAATGTACTCGGCGATTTGCAAAGGCCAAAGGGCATCACCACAAACTCGTACAGACCGTACCTGGTCTGAAATGCGGTTTTGTGTTGTTCTTCTGGTCTTATAGCAATCTGATGGTAGCCGGATTTTAAGTCTATCTTTGTGTAGAACTTACACCCCTGCACCCTATCCAATAGGTCGTCGATGCGTGGTAGAGGCTCTGCGTTCTTAACAGTGATGGCATTGAGGCCTCTATAATCAACGCACATCCTCAGTGTTCCCCCTTTCTTTGGAACAAACAATACTGGTGAGCCAAAGGGGGAAGTGCTAGGTCGAATCCAACCCTTCTTTGTGAGCTCTTTCAGTTGCCGCCGAAGTTCATCCAACTCGGCTAGAGCCATCCTATAGATTCTACCCTTAGGTGTTCCTGGGATAATCTCTATGGCATGGACAATCTCCCGATCTACGACTCATGTAGGCTCCTCAAACAGATCAGGGTACTTAGCGACGATGGTCCCTATCTCTGGGGGTGATTTAACGGCCTCCCTTTTTGCAAAGACATAGACTAAGTACATTCCTTCCTCTAGGATCTGTTTATAATAGTCATAGAAGGCAGGCACCCATAGGAGTCTATTAACCTACTGGCTTTGTATTTGGTCAGTCTCACGGTTCTCCCACTAGGCAACTCGTGCTTCAACCCCTTCTTGTCCCAGTCAAACTGGGGCTTGGCAACCTCGAGGTAGTACATGCCCAATAACATGTCAAAGGGCAACGCGTCGCTCACCAAGAAAGATATCTTATGATTTCTCTCTCCTCCTGGGTAGGAGAAGGTGCAGACTACATCTTTAACGTAGTCCTCCACCATCATGCGCTCTTTGTTGGCCAAGGTAGATGCTACCGGTCTACTAAGGCGCTGCACCCGGTCCTTTAGGCACAGTCTGTCAACGCAGTCGCGACTTCTCAAGTTTCGCGTGGAGCCAATGTCTACAAAGGCGCCGCACTTGCGACCACCCACATCAACTTCCACAACGAAGTGCTCCCCTCTAGGACCTCTACTCAGTGCCACCCAGGACTCACGAGGGTCCCTTGCTGACCAATCAACTTGAAGATCCTCTAAGGCCTCAGACACATCCAACGTACAGAGTATAGTTGGGTCCGGATGCGTCTGCGGGGTGACTAAGGAGTCAATAGCTTTGGCCATCTCTTGAAACGGGGAGGGTACATCACCCGCTTCAATGAGAGTAGAAGCGGCTATAACTTCTACTGGCCCTAAGTGTTTCCCGAGCTGGAGCTCGTAGAGGCCCCAAATTGAGAAGAAAAAAACCCACCCTTAGGAGGGATCTTCTGCGAGACCTTCGGGTTCTTGCACTTGAACTGTGTGTGACCGTACTCACCGCAGTTAATGCAAGCACCACGACTCCAACGGTCCCGCCATATATCCAGACCTGCTCTAACCCAAGCAACTATTTTGTTTGGGTTAGCGGCCTGCCCCTGACTCCTTTGTTGATCGCCCTTGCCGCGGCCAGCTGCCTTAGTCTTAACTACGGCGGCAAGGTTGCTACCCTCAACACTCTCCTCGCCGTCAAACTCTGAACCCTCCACAAGATCAGAAACATCATCGATCTCGGTTTGATTCCCATCGGAATCAACCATCATCAATCGACTACCCTTCTTCTTCCACTCTTGTGGAGTCTTCTTCTTTCTCCCATCCGTAGAAGGGGTTTGAGCTCCACCCAGCGTAGCCTCTAAGTCTAGGGCCTTCTTGCTGAATGACTCAAAGGTGTGATACTCGCGTCGAGCCTCGTGGGCTAATAAGTTCCTAATGTCTGTGGGAAGACATCTCAGGAACATGGTCAGCAAGCCCTGTGGATTGTACTCCACTCCCGAAACGACGATCAGGCGCTCTACGGCTGTGGTAAGTTCCCGCACTGACTTGTACTTTCTAGTATCAAGTTTCAAGAGCCCGTCAGTGGCTATCTGTGCCCGTTGAGGGTTCTGCCAACGAGCCTCCACTAAATCCATAAAGCTTTCAAGAGTTTGCGCCCAATCATGCATGTTCCTGCCGAAGCCCTTTGAAGCTACCAATCCATTTAACCAGCGGGCTGCTGAACCCTCTAAGTAGGATGCAGCAGTAATCACTTCCTCTTCTACCAATGTCCTTTTTGCCCTCACCCACACTGGAACCGTTCTCAACCATGTGTCGAGTGCCTAATCCTTCTCGTCTCCTGAGAAGGTTGCAGGTGGGTTCAGTGGGGTCTTTGGGTACCAAGGATATTGCTGTCCCTGTTGTGAGACAGGTGGCGACTGTGGTGTAGCAGCAGTCATTGGACCAGAAGATGAAGAAGCAACAGTCTGAGATAGAGGTACTGTTGATGATACACTTGGTGGTGGTGTAGACTGAGCAGCATAGAGACTTGTCATTGCTGAGAGTGGCAGCGATGGTAAAGTTGCTGGCCGGATCCCTGGCTTATGCAGCGCTTGCAGAATCTGGTCTAGGGTATCCTGCATGGCGTCCATCTTGTTATCTTTGTACGCATGCATGGACAGGACACTTGCCTTAAGGATCTTTTCTGTACAGTTAAGGGTTGTGTTGTCTAAACCCTCTAGCGCAGCCAAATCTGCCTCCCTGCTCTCTAGTATGACACTTCTTTCTTTGATATCTTTCTCTCTTTTAGTAGCCTGTCTAAGTTCCTCCTCTAACCTTAAGCGGATCCTCTCTACTTGTTGGAGCTCCATCTGCTCCCGGGTGCGTGGAGGCGGCGAGTTGAACTGCGAGCTCGCCATTTGACTAGTGCCAACCCCTAACGTACTGGAGATTGACTGGGAACTGGTAGGCATACCTAGCCCTTGACCAGTTGAGTTCGCAGCAGTTGCTGCGGAAGTAGCATTACTCGTTGCTACCACTCTAGCAGCTGCTGCTTCTCTTGCAGCCTCAAAATTATGGGCCCTAGCTTCAGCCCTTAATCTTCTCTCTTCTCCCGGTTGTAGGGTCTGGAACACTCTAGGGATTCTAAGGGATGATAGCCTTGTTATCCTCCTATCGTCATTTGTTCCTTCACCACAATCTGATCCACTCATAGGATAGGAAGACGTTGTCTGCACTAATGTCCTCGCTGGAACTTACCGCAGCATGTGTCTGACCGGATCTAAAAATAAACAATTAAATAAATGTCCAGTTAGTTACCTAGCCTACTAATCAAGCGGTATCAACAGCATCTACACAAACTATACACCTTGCCTAAGTCCTATTCTGATTAGTATGCACAGAAGATTTGAGAAGAACTGACTCTGGTAGATTACAGTCCTAACTCTAGACTGTCTGTTAGGTGTTAGCAGTCGGTCAACCTAATCAAAATAAAACTCAGACTAATGTGAGCAGATGTATGCACAATGGATATGTCAGTGATGTACAGTTGAGTTCACAATTGGAATCCCCTTCCCCTGTATCCAATGTACCAGTGAGCATCATCAAGCTGTGGTGTCTAAGGTGTGCAACCACGGCCCACCCCTGTGCCCAAGAAGTATGCTTATGACCAGCCTGCCCCTTTGTTTACCCTCGCGTGCAACGAGCCTTACGTCTGAATGATCTGGCTGATCACGAGGGATTTAAGGAGAGCCCCCATCTCCTCAGGAATTATTTAACGTCGCAAACAGGACGACGATCACAGCCAGTGAACAGTTCAGACCCCAACCAGAAATGTTTATAGACGGTCTGGGAGCGCCTCAATAGGACTGGTCAGTCCTCACACCCCTTCTATCAGCGCAGCAAAGAGCCTTAATAGACAAAGCAGCCATCGCATGCGTGTACTAATCCCATTGGGTTGGCATGGTGACCATGACCCACGTGCTTCGACCAGGGCCCTTCAGAGGCACCGCCCTCTCCTGCCAGATGCGCCACCGAGAAGAATGCCGTCTCTCAAGATAGAGCGCACACGACTCCTCACCAAAGAGAGGACACTCAAGTTGGACTCACTTCCTCACGGTAAGAAGAGATTGAGAGGGTAGATAAGGAATGGGAACAACGTTCCTGTAGATAACTGCCCCCAACCACAGATTTCTCACCAATTGGGCTGATGTGCATTTCGATGACCGGTCAATAACCTCGGCACCACCCACAACGCAATGTAGTGCCACCTCAGCCAAAATGCCACTTCAGCATACTCTCATCATCATACATACACCCGCTGTCGCCACAGCTCCCACGCTGTCGCCACATCCTTCCAGCGGCTGGCCTCTCTACCTAGGCCCCGCTAATCAACCAGCGGCAAAGTATTCTCACTGCACATGAAGCATCCTCAGCGCACCAAGTTACAAAGTCACCTGTGTCAGGTAAGCGGTGATCACAACCAGCTCCGATACCAAATTGCAAGGAATATGAGTGTGATCGATATACATAAAACCAAGTTGCGAAATCACACAGCTGAGCAAGTAGTAGTATCCCAAGTAGAGAGTACAAATGCACCGAGAAAACCATCCATAAAGAGCAATACAATGAAGTATTGAGCCAATGTCCAAGCCCGTAGGCCACACCAACACAGTATCCAGACTCGCTCTCTCTGTCTGGCGCACAGTGCCCAGCCTACTCTACCGTACTATCCTACGCTACAGCTGGTTCACACAACAGGATCACTTCGGCTCACGAAGACCAATGTACATGACTGTCCACACCATCGGTGACCTCTCTTCATTTACCAGGTACGTATCTCGTCACCCTCAATCAGACCTTGATTATCCCACACAGCCCCTCACTCCCTGAAGACCACCCGATCATCCGCTGTACCCCGTGGCGCCTAGCAGCCCGGCTATGGCCGCCTGCGCCCCGCTGCCCTGCAGCCCTGCAGCGCCCCACTTCACCTCTCGGGCCCCGCGCCCCGTCAGCACCCTTGGCAGCAGCGCAGCATCAAACGAGGGTGCAGCAGCACTTCCGCATTGCCAGCGCTGGCCAGAATGCCTGGCCTGGGCTGCCTCACTTCCTTTATGGAAGTGGCAGCCTGCTGCATGCTGCGTGTGGCCTGGCTGGAAGCTTCCAGTGGCTTCCGGTTGGGCCTCGGACCCTGTGCCCAGGCCTAGACTTACAGTTGAGGGCCTGGGCCCTTTACAGTTGGGCGCGGCCTGAGTCTCCGGACTTGGGCTGTTAGCTGCATCTGCGCAGGGCCCCCAGGTAGGTGCGTCGGCTGTACTGCTTGTCCAGAGGCCGACGGCTGGCTTCTCAATACATCGGCCCTGCTTTGTGTGTAGGTGCCCAGGCACAACTTTCGTGGCTTGGGCCAACTGTACGGCGCAGCTTAGTGAGGCTCGCGCGTTCATTCAACCAACTGACGCGCTGCAAGAGCCTGAATACCCACATATGGAAATGTCGAATTTCGCCTGAGACGAATATTCAGGCCCGCCTTCACTTAGGGCGGGCACTCGCCTTGCTGGGGCCTTGGCCCAGAACAATGTGATGTCTGAAAGGGCCACTTGAGGCTTGTTCCTCACATATGTTCGGCCGAACACCCGAACATGTTCAGACGTTCGGAAAAGCTCCGAACATGTTCGGTCTGCTACACAGATATGAACAACATACTTTCTTATCCAGATTTTTTTGATTTTTTTTTGTTTGTTAAGAAAACATATTTTTATGCAGGGCCAGATTTTCCACATCCAAAATTAATCCGGAATTTTCATCCAAATTGAAAAATCTGGATGAAATTGGCCTGCCGGATACCCAGATTTGCCACATAGAAAATAACACGTTTATGAGATGAGACTCTAAGCGATACAGACGTGCAAATCGTTCATCAGACTTAGGTATACGGGCGAAAGACTAATCGAACCGTCTAGTATCTGGTTCCCTCCGAAGTTTCCATCGGGATAGTTGGAGCTGTTGAACAGTATCGGGTAATCCGATTCATCAATCAATCAATCAATCGGTCAGTCAAAAAAAAAGGGAAAAAAAAACAATTGAAATCAATCGATTCAATTGGATACTGAGTTCGAAATCAATATTCAAGTGAATCGATTGATTCGCTGGGTCTTTTTTTCCCTGTTTTTCACTGATTGATTGACTGATTTAACATATATATCATCAAAGTTGGTCAAACAGAGCTGCCCGGTAAACTGTAGGCAGAGAGGGAGAAGAGGACAACAAACGAAGGGCTGTGACAAACTGTTTCCTCGGAGTTTCACCGACTCATCAGGAGGCTGAACCCTCAACAGTCAGCAGAATCCCCTAACTGATTACACTGTGAGTGATAATCCACCTTAACCCCGGTTGTAAAATATATATATAAGACAAGGCTCTAAGCGATAGGAACGTCCAAATCGTTCGTCAGACTTACGGGCGAAAGGCTTATCGAACCGTCTAGTAGCTGGCTCCCTACGAAGTTTCCCTCAGGATAGTTGCAGCTGCTGAGCAGTTTTATCGCGTAACCCGAATGATTAGAGGAGGACAAGGAGGAGGAGGAGGAGGAGGAGGAGGAAGACGAGAAGGAAAGGGCCGAGGATGACTAGGAGAACGAGGAGGACGAAGAGGCCTCCGACGCGTTTCGCCTCTCCCCTGACAACGAGAATGGAAAAAAAAGTACAACAAGAGGACGACGAGGGCGAGGGGGAGGACTAAGAAGAGGAATAGGAGGAAGACGAGGACGAGGACGAAGAAGAAGAGGAGGTGGAAAAGGAGGAAAAAGAGGACGAGAAAAAAGAACAACAGGTGGACGATGACAATGAGGAGAAGGAGAAAGAAGGACAAGGACAAAGAGGAGGATGAAGAAGAAGCAGACGACTAGGAGGACGAACAACAACTATTGGAGGAGGAGAAGGAGGTGAAGGTGGAGGAGGAGAAGGACAAGGACAAAGAGAAGGAGGAGGAAGGAGGACAAGGACGAAGAAGAAGAGAAGGACGAGGAGGAGAAAAAGGAGGACGAGGACAAGGACGAGGACAAACAAAACGAACAACAGGAGGACGACGAGGAGGAGGAGAAGGACGAGGACAGAGAAGAGGACGAAGAAGAAGCAGAGGACGAGGAGGACGAGCAACGACTGTTGGAGGCAGAGGAGAAGGAGGTGAAGGCGGAGGAGGAGAAGGACACGGATGAAGAGGAGGACGAAGAAGAAGCAGATGTTACATCTTCGACTCACACGGGTCCTACCGGACCCGACTTAGGGCCGGAGGGACACACCAGGGCCTAAAGGCCCGACCTTTGGGGTTTACAGGCCCTAAAGGCCTGAGTTTGGACCATCACCTATCGGGTAGGCCCAAACGACACTTCGTTTGGGCCTGGCGGCGCTCTTGAAGCTGCCGCCCGCCGATTGAGGCTGAACCGTCCATCTGGACGGTTCAGGGTCTGGCCTGGCC